AGCGGAGCAGGATGAATTTTTTGTATGCCGATTCGGCAACCCTTGTTTGGAATGGTAATTCGATCACTGGCAATGATGCAATCCTGAAATTTTACGATGGTTTACCGAATTCAACACATTCGTAAGTTCCAATGAATGAATCCTATTCCAGTTTTGTTTGGCATAAATATAAATGTGCTCGAATATCTAAAAAAAATTGTTTGAATATTTCAATTATAAGTATTTGAAGCGCGCCAAAATTTGTTATTCAAGAATATTCGTAATTTTTTGCAAAATTGTTTCTTGAGGGAATTATATAAATATTTTCTAAAAAAATACTATTTCTTGAAATAACTTTTCTAAAAAAAAATTTTTTTTTTAAAACTCTTTCCCTCCTCTTTCTTCTTCTCTTCCCTCTTCATCCCACTCTTACTCCTTCTAATCTCACAGTCATATCGTTTCCCGTTCCGTTTCTTCCTATCGTCTTTCTCTTTCCTGTTCCTTTTCCATTAAGCACTGCGACCGTCGTACTGACGAGGTCCTGTCGCGCGGTGTTGAGTTAGGACGTATATGACTTAATGAAATGAAACGTCTTATCTCACTCTTACCTCCTCTCATATGCAGTTCTTTCATGCTGTAATCTATCGCGCCTTTGCCTTTTTGGTTTCCAGGATCAACCTGGTTGTTGCAATCGGCATATTTCTATCATTAATTTGAATATCAAGACCTCCCCCCCCCTTTCGCACTCACCCAGCATTGGTGGCAAATACCAGCATCAATCACCTGCTGGCATGGTTGTCACAACTGTTGCCTCTTTCGAAGGTTATTCGGGAGCAAGCTGATGGCGTTTTTGACTTCTCTGTGTGACATCAAAACGAATTGATTGTTCCCGCTAGTGGAACACTCCGTTCGTAAAATGCAAAAAAGCACTTACGGATTGGCACTTTATGTTGTTTTTCATGCATTATATGTGTGCCTTTCCTCCAGATCATAATGAAATATCTTACCTTGTCGATTAGGAAGGGAATTGA